TTGTACAAAAGAGATGTAATTTTAGAAAAAACATAAGCATTTTCAAATGGCATATTTTTTAGTACTCACAGAAGCCGTGGCTGTGTAAAATCAAATTTGCGCTCCATTGTTGTGAATGGGACTTGTCGCCCCGTGTCTTTTCAAAACCCAGAAAAACACCCTAAAACCTTATCAATCAACTAGAAACTGCACCAGGTTGTAGAAAAGGGATGACAGTTTAGTAAAAACATAAGCATTTTCAAATGGCATATTTTACTAATGCTCTAACTAACTTCATGCCTTCACTTGATTGCCTCTGGCTGCAACGGTGTAATTCGATTCCAGAGATAAGAGATCATAAACAGGCTGTAAAGAGGTTGTTTGGAGCTAGCATGGCTGGCACTCAAAGGGGGGGAGGGAGAGAGGGGGGGAGGGAGCGAGTGGGAGAGAGGGGGGGGGGCACGGCAGCGTGCAGAGACAGCCACAAATTATGTATGGAGGATTATGTATGGAGGATCGAGTGTGTCGTTCTAAAACATTTGTACGTATTGCGGTATTTTGTCATTTATAACATCTGCTGACTTGTCCTAAAAAGTGCATTGAAATGAAATAAAGAAGTCAAATGGAATATGCTGTTGTCCCTGTGATTGCCTTATTATGAATTTGTGTGTGTGTGTGTGATTGGTCCTAGACTCCCGCGAAACTGATGTTGTGTCTGTGTGTGCGTGACAGGTCCTACACTCCCGCGAAACTGATGTTTACAGTTCGTTGCCGAAGCAAACGTACTGAAGTGACCAACGAAAGCTTTGGGGTTTTTGTGTGCGTCTGTCATTGGTCCTAGACTGATGTTTACAATTTATTGTCAAAGCAAATTCACTCAATTGACCAAAGAAAACACAGTTCCCTCAGAAGACAGGACCAATGAAATCAAAAGCGAAAGTTTATAAACAAAAGTTGCAAAGGCTCTCAGCTGGAGACTGGCGCCACGACTCACAGATTTTGTACTCCGGTGAGACCATGGACAGATTTAGTCCAGATGAGGTGGCAGATATTGTCAGCAGTGCAGCTGTGGTTTCGGAGACATCGGAGGAGGAGAACGAACATGATGTGAGAAGTGAAGATTCCACATCCGAAAATGAAGAAGAAGAGGAAGAAGTGTCGTATTTGTCCAAAAATGGAAAAATATCTTGGTCCTCAAGACCAATCGGACTGTCCACCTCTGGCAGACTGCCAGCCGAATTTGTGCTAAAGTCCACTCCAGGACCCACAAGGATCAGCAGAGCACAAGTACACGACGTCCTCTCTGCCTTCGAACTTTTCATCCCAAGAACGGTGGAAGAAATGGCAGTAAAGTTCACGAACTTGGAAGGGCTACGGAGGCACCCAAATGACTGGAAGAAAACCAACCGAGAAGAAATGAGATGTTTCATTGGAGTACTCATTCTGAGTGGCATGTTCCGATCGAGGGGCGAAGCTGCGGAATGTCTCTGGGACTCTTACATGGGGAGACCCATCATTGCGGCAGCGATGTCCCTGGACCGTTTTCGGACACTCACAGCCATGCTCCGTTTTGATGACCGGGAGACCCGACCCAGCCGCAGAGCAGCAGATAAGCTGGCCCTCGTAAGGGACATCTGGGAGGCATGGCTGGAGAGGCTGCCGGTGATGTATACACCTGGAGAAAACATCACCGTTGATGAGCGGCTGATTCCCTTCAGGGGTAAGTAATGCATGGTCTTTGTTACTTATTATTTCAAACACGGTAGACCGATCTAACTCCGCTTCGTTTTAGTCCTACTTGCCTGCAGTATAGATCTGTACAGTGGTGATGTATTTCACGGCAAATACGCGTTCTTTCTATGTGTTGTAGGTCAATGTGCTTTCCGCCAGTACATGCCGAGAAAGCCTGGAAAATACGGATTGAAGCTGTGGGTGGCAAGCGACAGCGCCACCAGCTACGCCTACAATGTGCAAATATATACAGGCAAGCCGGCCAATGAGCCTGCAGAGGCCAAATTAGGAATGAGGGTGGTGCTGGACTTGACGGTGGGGTTGACCGGCCGTACAGTTGTATGTGACAACTTCTTTACTTCGTACGAGCTGGGGCAAGAGCTCCTAAAACGGAAACTGACAATTCTAGGCACCATTCGTAAAAATAGGGGGGAACTGCCTTCTGCCCTGCTTTCCAGAAAGGGAAGTCCGGTCCACAGTTCCAAATTTGCTCATACGGACAATACGACCGTAGTGTCATATTTGGCCAAAAAAAATAAAAACGTGCTCCTCATGAGCACCGCTCACAGAGAGGCACGAATTAGCTGCCGGGCGGACAGAAAACCACAAATAATTCTGGAATACAACAAAGCCAAAGGGGGGGTGGATACCTTAGACATGTGCACGGCCAAGTACAGCTGTCAGCGGCGCACATGCAGATGGCCGGTGGCCATTTTTTTCAACATGATTGACATAGCCGCCTACAACGCTTTTGTAATATGGAGGGAGCTGAACCCCACTTGGAAGCAGGGCAGAAGGCAGTATAGGCGGCTGTTTCTGGGGGAATTAGGGAGAGCCCTTGTCACTCCAGCAATGGTAAATAGGGAACGCCTCCCTCGTTCCTCCAGTGCAGCCGCAATTGTGAAGGCTACGAGGGTGCTAGCCTCTACCTCTGCAGAAGGCACAGTACAGCAGAGGGGGGGGGGGCAAAGGGCGGTGCGGCTGGTGCTCTCGAGCATCTGACCAGAAGACAACCCGCGTCTGCGGGAAGTGTGGCAAATTTGTTTGCCAAAAACATAGCATTCAATATTGTGTTGACTGCAGATAAGTTCCAAATATTGTTCTGCCACAGTTGGCTATTTTTTTTTTTTTATTGTTATTAGGTGTTATTTGCTGTTATTATTTTTTGTTCTATTCGTTGTGTTCTGTTTCTAATTATAATCCTTGTATTCGTTGTATATAGTAATAGATTAGTGATAGCAATAATGATAATTAGTACGTTTTGTTGATGTTTTGTTGTCAAAATAAATCACTTTTTTATTGATTGGGAGCAATGTTACTGACTTCATTGCAGTGAAATGGCTTGGCATTCATCGGCACCAAACCAGTGGAGTTATGCAGTACTGAAATAAACATAATTTAATTTTTTTTTTTTTCTCCATAAAGTTTGATTCCTCTAGGTCAGAAAAATACCCATACTTCATGTGTGATTACACATTTAGGTTGCGGTCCTGGGCGATGAAATCCGACACCGCTCATTATTTCCAAAATCTCATTAGCATAACATTGGGGTGATTTTGGCACCCCAACCGTTCGAGTGTTACAAGGGTATATGGCGTAATTTTTTTTAATTTTTTTTTTTTTCCCCATAAAGTTTGATCCCTCTAGGTCAGAAAAATACCCCTACTTCATGTGTGATTACATATTTAGGTTGCGGTCATGGGCGATGAAATCCGACACCGCTCATTATTTCCGGAATCTCATTAGAATAACAACGAGTGTATTTCGCAGTTTTTCTAAAAAAATACAAAATATATTTTCAAACTCCTTGGTACTTTACTTGTCCTTGGTAATATCTTTAAAGTCACCAAGTTTCATGTCATTCGGTTTTAGACAAAAAAAAATGTTACCGTTTCCACCGCTAGGGGGGATTTAAACACCCCAAACCTGACGTAAGGGGTAATTACTGAAGATGTTCAAAAAATGCATGCATATCTCAATGAAATGCAGGATAACTGGTACAAATCACTCTATGAAAATCCCTCTGTAAAAGCCTGGATTGAGCTTACAAAGGTGTGTATGACCCAGATCATTCTCTTTAACCGGCGCAGGGAAGGAGAGGTGGCAAGCATGCCCTTATCTGCATTTTTATCAAGAGACACCTCTGACACCGTGAGTTCTATCGACTCCCTGAGAAGACCCTGCAACTTGCAAAGATCAGCAAAGTTCTAATGGCACTCGAACAAGGAAGATTAGCTGAATTTCATGGCAAGAACTTAGATGAAATTCAAATAGATCCAGATGGTATGTTATTTTATTTGACTTTTTTGTTTATTTTTCTGCTTGCTATCTATTCTTTTTGTTTAATCACATTGTTAAGCTGTACTTTCTATGACTTCCACAGAAAAAGTTCTGGACAGTGATGAGGAAGACTTCCAGGAGGAATGTCAGGCAGGTTCATCAATTATGGATGGTATGTATTGTCACTAGCTTAAGTCAGTAAGTTTATTAGAGTTATTTAGCTAACTAATGCCAGGGGCATATGTACTTAATGATTGGGACTTGAAGGCAAAATCAAACATAATTCATTATTATTAGGATAGGTCTAATAAAAATCTTTTAAATCTTTTAAAATGGCCTATCCTAAAGAAACCAAATCTTGAACCTAGTGACTTAGGAAACTATAGACCAATCTCAAATCTTCCCTTCATTTTAAAATTCTGGAGAAAGTTGTTGGTCACCAGCTGTCTTCCTTTCTTCAAAATAATAATGCTAACGAGCTATATCAGTCTGGTTTCAGAAACAATCATAGCACAGAAACGGCCTTAGTCAAAGTGATAAACGACTTGCTTATGGCTTCCGACCGTGGCTGTATATCGCTATTATTCTTACTGGATCTAACTGCAGCATTCGATACTGTAGACCATAATATTCTTTTGGACCGGCTGGAAACATTGATTGGCATTAAAGGGACAGAACTACTGTGGTTTCGCTCATATTTAACTGATCGTTACCAGTTTGTCCATGTAAACAATGAGTCATCCATAGCCACTAAAGTAAGATATGGTGTCCCGCAGGGATCAGTGT